TCCCAATAACCGTCGGTAACTAGCAGACTTACGAAGCTGATAAGTTGACAAACCTGCAAAAGATACCTTGGTTTATCCTTCAAAGCAAAAGTGAGAACTTTTCTGAGATTCAATTCCCACTTCAAGTGCATTTAGAATCAAAACTTTCATTTAAAAACCCGGATTTTGTTATGGCAGAATAAGGATAATCGTATCGGATTGACGAATGCTGTCAGCTGAGATATGCTTGTTCACGAATGCAGTTGTTCAGTCGTCCATTGTCCAGAGTCCTCTTCCCCCAGTATGTCCCGCATAAGAGTTACAAATACGGACTTAAGCTATTCGAACTCTGCACGAAAGATAGCTACAGCTACAAAATTCTGGTACATACTGGTAACGATCCTTCCATAACTGAAGACGTGGCAGAGTATGAAGTTTATGCATGATTTTCTTGACAAAGGAAGGTATCTCTACACCGCTAATTAGTATACGAGCTTTCATTTCGCTGAAGACATTGAGAAGGACTCATCTTATTGGTAGCTGTAGGAAAAACGGGAAAGCCTTTCCATACAAGTCCTTCAGTAGATGGGTTAATAGCACAAAGCAGCACAAAAAAAAAATCTTGAAGTGGAAAGATAAGAAGAAGGATTTTATTATGTTGTCCAAAGCTCATATCCCGTCAATCCCTCTAACTCATCAAAACTAAAAGCGCTTGAAAGCTGCAACCGGAGGAAGGTTTTCGTAGATACAATTGGTTGGATAGCGTTCCACCGCTCCATTGTTACAAGAACTAGCGAGTGACACCTTTGTCTCCAAGTGTTCACTGTTTAGACACATCATTTTTACACCTTGTTTAGGTACATAAGGGTTCTTCCATATGACCACTCAAACGTCCATCGTGAACACATAGAAGATAGTAATGTCACACACCTGTCACTTGTAGTCAAGTTGATCGTCGAGTGACTCGAGCGGACGCCAGTAAATCTTCCATTTTTCCCTGTCGCGTGCAAGAGTAGCCCAGTGGATTCTGTTCGCTCCAGGGACTCACCGAGCATACTATCTCTCTTCAAGACTCTTTGTGAAGAACTCTGACCATCGCGTCGGTAGTCTTCCGGCAGTACGTTTGACATCCCGAGGAGTCCGATCACTAACGGGCCTCGTCCATCGGTTGTCATTCATACGCATTACGTGTCCGGCCCACATTGCGTTCAACTGTTTGGCGTACAGAACGGCATCTATGATTTTTTGTCGTTGACGCAGATCGGAGCACCGGATCCCATCCCTTACTTGCGTGGAACGGGATATTCCCAGCATAGTCCTTTCGACTGCGCGTTTGATAACGCTGAGTGACCCTTCCTCCTGCTTACGCAGCGACCAGATTTCCGACGCATACGTTAGGGCAGGAAGTACCGTTGAGTCAAAAAGGTGGACACGGAGTCGGGTGTTCTTTGTTCTCTTCACTACATCCTCGATGCTCTTGAAAGCTCCCTAAGCTGCTCGTTTCCTTCTGCTCATCTCTGGAGCTAGGTCGTTCATTATATCGATTTCCCAACCTAGATAGATATAACTGGAGCATTCGGAGATATTCGTTCCGTTGAGCGTGAATAGGACATACGAAACCAATCCGTTCTTCATGAACATCGTTCTTGTGAGGTTTAGTCGGAGACCAATCTTTCCACAGGCCTTATCAAAGTCGTCAAGCATACGCTCCGCTTGGCAAATGTTTGGTGTTATAAGGACGATGTCATCAGCAAAGCGAAGATGATGTAACTGTCGACCGTCGATTTTCACTCTCATACCATCCCATTCCAATGTTCGCATGACGTTCTGGAGGAAGGCGGTAAATAATTGTGGCGAGATGGTATCGCCTTACCTAACTCCTCTTTTGACGTCAATGTCAATATCGTTGTAGAATGGTGATATCTTGGTCGGGAAATCTTTGTACAGCTCACGAAGAATCTTTACGTACTCAGTAGTGACTCCTTGACTATCAAGGGCTTCCGAGACTGCTTCTATCTCAACTGAATCAAAAGCCTCCTGTAAATCGATGAAAGTGAGACAGAGCGGTCTACTGTACTCTCGCGAGACTTCAATGAGCCGTATTACCGTGTGGATGTGGTCCATCGTACTAAATCCTCTTCGAAACCCTGCTTGCTCACATGGCTGTCCTTCGTCCAATGTCCTGTCAATCCTGTTTAGGATGACTCGAGTGAAAAGTTTGTAGACGACAGACAGTAAGCAGATTGGGCGATAATTGCCAGTATCGTGCAGGTCACCCTTCTTGAACAGTAATACGGTCTTGCTGGTCTTCCACTGAATAGGGACCTTGCATTCAGACAGGTAACGTGTGAAGAGCCGAGTCAGTGTGTTTACGAGGACTGGCGGAAGGTTCCTCAGGTGTTCTGTTCTTATCCTGTCCGGACCTGGTGCTGCTCGACTTTTCACCGACGAAAAAGTATGTCGGATTTCGGAAGGGAGAGACGGTGGTACAACATATCCACCCTCCTTTATTTCATATGATGGAATGTGGACGTGGCTATCCAAGAGATCCGAGTAGTATTCGTGAATGATTTTCTCCACTGCTTTTCTGGACGCAGTAACTGTTCCGCCTGGGCGCCGGAGAGTAATTATTTTGGTCTTGTAATTGGCGAAGCTTCGGGGACTTTGCGAATGTTTTTCCTAGCCTCTGCATCTTCGGCCATTACTGCTGCTCTTCTCTCACTAAGATCTTTTATTGCCTCTCTGCATTATTTTGCAAGTTCGGACGTTAGTTCGCGATTTCCTGCAGCTCGTGCGATTCCACGCTAGTGTATCAGCTCAAGTGTTTCTGGAGACAAACGTCTCTTGGTGACTTTCGAACTCTGAGTTTTCATAGCGCTAGCGTGAAGATGTTGAATAAACCGATCGTATTCTTCGTCCATGTTATCGACAACGGCATTTTCCCAACAGCCGACTAATGAATTCAATAAATCCCAGTTCACGGTGGTTCTGGGACTTCGGGTTTGAAATTTAGCGGCTTTTTCTCCTTTCCACGAGAAATAGAATCTTACACGAAGGAGACAGTGGTCTGATCCCGTGTAGAATTTTAGGACAACAGCGACATCAGTTAGGCAAAACTTTCTATTTACTATGATGTAGTCTACTTCGTAATGGTACTCTCTATTGGGAGACTCCACGTCCAGCGTTGAGGGTGGGGATCCTGGAATTGCGAGTTACCATGGATTGACTTGGCCGCCATGATAAAAACTCAGACAGCCGCTCATCTTGTTCGTTCCATTCTAATCCGTGGGTCCCAATATGACGTTCTTCTTGGTCCAATCTTGGCGTTGAAATCTCCAATGATGACCTTGAAGAATGAGTGGTCTTTTCTGCAGAACTTCTCCAAATCCATCTAGAACGCTTCGACTTCTTCTTCGTCATAGTTTGATGTTAGCGCGTAAACGACGAAGATTGTCAGAGGTGGAATTGATCTACGTTTTCTTAATCGTAAACGTCCGATTCGGTATCGATGTTCACGGACAAACTCGTGTTGACGGGAACGCCCACGCCGCCGACTCCTCTACCGTCGCATGTTCCGAGGAACAGTTCTTCTCCGGTGTCATAGACGGCGTTTAAGGGCTAGCGTCTTCTCGTCTCGGCCAGGCCGATGACGTCGTACTTTATCCTTCCTGCCTGCATGAGCAAGTCTTCTATCGAGGACTCGGATGCAAGTGTACGTGCATTTTAGGTACAGATCGTCTCCATAGTTCTTTGAAATCCAGGCAGCTTCCATTGGCCCTGTGATTTTAGCAGCCTCTCCGTACTCGTCCCACCCAACGCTGCCGATTTGGGGGCCCTTTCGGGGTCAGGGGAGTGGGGCCCGCTTTTTTTTTTTTACTGAGTTTAACATTTTGGTACCCACGTAGCTCTGAACGTGAGGGCTATACCCACGGGTAGCTTGCCAGACTCTCCCAGAGTGCACATGAAGCTTATTTGTTGGAGGCGACTCCTAACCGCCCCCCATGTTCTTCCCTGTCACTTGATTGCATGCCGAATTGACTTGTAGAATACAATCCGCATAAGCAAGAATGCACCCACACACGCATGCATGAATACGCCTAGCAAATACAGAAAGTATGTGCCAAATCAGCGCAGCAGAAACAGAGAGTCCATCCCCTGGATCCACCTGCGTCTCAGGGAAGCAAAGGTCGCTTTTGGTCCGCGATTAACCCCTATCCGCCACCTGGGGACGCGCCACATAGCCTCGCGACTAACCGGCTCGAGATCTCTCACATGAGGGAGCTCCGTGGATAGCAATGAGTAGTTGCGAAAACTTCACTGAATGACTTCAATATATATGTCTGCTGGCGTTACATTAGAAACGGGAGTGCTTCGACACCATCGAGTGCTTATTTCGTTGATGAAAGTGGGCGGTTGGAACAAAAGGAGGTGGTGTACGGGTTTTTTTTTAGAGACTCGAAAGTCTTTCGTCTTTGTGTAAGTGTTATTGAAGCGTTTGGCCTAGTAGATTGTATATCAGTATACCCTTCCAGGCTCTGAAGAAGGCGATACTGCCGAAACATCAGCTAGTGTTGTATTGTATTGTGTTTCTCTATTGAAGTAAATGTATGCTGTTTAAAAACCTCGCGATTGCTGAACAAGAAAACGACACATTCATATTCCAATGCCGAGGTTAAGAGAAAGTCGATCTTGGGAACTATTACAAGATGTAGAGAATAGCTTTTCATTAGCTACTCCTGATATTGGATCTACGTCTGACACTCTATCTATAGAATAGAAAAACTGCGATAAAAAACCTTTGTAAACCACAAAGAGGTATGACACGATATCGTGTCACATGGACGTTTATGTTAATGTTTGCCCAAGTTCGCCCCTTGGAATTCTGCAACCAAAAAAAGTCCCTCGTGGAAAACCATTCTCTACTGAACTAATGTGCAAAAAGCACATTATACTGCTGTTTAATCCTCTTCGAACACCATGTTTTCCACACTTATTCCTACTCCAACAAATGTTTTTGCGACTTATTGCGTAAGCACCCACCTGAATATCATATTCTCGTCCGTTAGAGATATTAAACGACGATGTAACTCAGAGAGAGGAAGCGTTCGCCGGGATGGAGGACTAGAGATCCCAATGGACGATAATGACGACGGAGATGAGTCGTAAGCAGTCGACTGAAAATGTCGCATATTCATACGATTCTATTCTTCAACAATCACTGTATCCATCACAAAACAAAATTCAAGTGAACAAGTGTTTTCATAAGGATCAAATCGGAGACAAGTCGTACCGCATCACTCGAACTGTCCTGACTGCGATCCTCCGCCTTATTAGGTGCTACTTTAACGGGACGCTGTGGTGTAATAGTCACGCGAAGCGCAGAGGTATCCACTAGTGCCGAACTTGGAGAGGAGTCGCGAACTGGCATCATCTTTTTATCAGTGCCGTCCTGTACAGTAGTATCAGATTCCATAAATGTTACATTTTTGCACCTACGACACTTTGTCAAAACAAAAGTCACAAGATCCCACACACCAGAAAATATCTACAATCAAATTAAAGAGGCGATAGTTAGCATAATACTAAAATCCACAAGAGAACATGAACCATTGGTTTCGGGAATACTTAGGAGTGTCAAATTGACCTTACACGATTATGAGTACATAGTCTACAAGATAAAAAAGAATACTTTTTGAAAAAAGTACACCAAAAAGGACTAACATTTGTTTCCGTGTAAAAACGTTTGTTTTTCTTTTCCTTGGTCTTCTCGTTTTCCATATCTTTATGCTTCTTTTTCTCGCTGTTCTTAATTTCCTTCTTATTTCGATCAGAGTAAGTTCTAAAACAAACGTCGTTTCACTAGCAGACAAAGAATATCTCAGAATATTTAATAAATACATAGGAAAGTTCAACTATATCAGCACATTTTATCGTCCGGTTTCGACTTTTTTGAACGATTGGAAGCAGGATCCGTGTCACGTTTTTTTCTTTTACCATCTGTTGAGCCACAGAAACGCCGTACCAACTCAAGAAATGAAGGCACAACATCCGACATCGCGAAAGTCATCTCTTGCTGATGGAATGCATGTTTCTCTAAAGTGTTTAAGAATTAGAGACTAAGACGACAAAAAGAACTGTGCCACATGCAGAAGAGATATCTATAACTAAAGCCCCACCCAATTTTAGATTCATGTCATATTGAACAGGATACGGTTTAGCATGTGGTGTGTTGAAATATATTATCAGTTTCGGTGTGAATGAAGCATAGCCAGTTTCTTCAAGCTCAAACGGTGGCTCTTTGAGTACACGAAATGGATTGGAAAAAGTCGGATGCAGTTCAATTTCTACCTGAAATATTCTTATAGTGTAAACTAATCGATAAGCATAAAAAATACAGCTCTAACTTATTAAATATCGAGTTTTTAGTTAATTCTGTTAATATGTTCTTAAAAAATTGACTAATAAGCACGAGTCACTAACAACTTACGGAACAACTCTGCTTATTGATGAAAAACATTGAATTATCAATTAATGCCGAGGTTAACAGAAAGTCGGTCTTGGGAACTTACGAACAACAGAATTAAGACTGGCGAACTTTCTACAAGAATCAAACAGTTAACAAATATGGCCACTAAGTTCTACAAAAAAAGGCTTAATAGACTAACCACTGACTCAATAATCATCTAGTAAAGGCCCCAAAAAGAAAGGTGTGAGGGGATACTGAACTATAAGTAAGAATCCTGGTACGAAAAGCATACCTAACAACATTACTCAATTTCAAAGAGGATAGAAAGAAGCACAAACGATGTAGAGCAAGATAAAGGGACATACCTTATAAACAAAAGTTCTATCGGTAAATTTCGAGCCAATGATTGGGCGCACAAAAAGAATCCATCGAAACCGATGATTATTCGGCAGAGGCTTTTCCAACGCAAACGACTCATGACCGATTAGCACCTGTTTACAGAATATCTAAACAGCAGTTCAAATACAATAAAATCACACCTTAACGCGCATTTATTGCTAATGAACCAGTTCTTTTTAATCAAAAAAAGGACAAAGCTCTCGGCATTGATTTATCCCTGAGGGATGCACTAAGTATTCGACTTCATTAAGCATCGTTAGAATGCATATCTGGCCTTTACGATGATATGCAGTGGCCTACCGATGTATCGAGCCAGTGCTGCTATCCTCCCAGACAAGTCTGGTACCAATTTACCGACGCCGGAGAGATGGAGGAAGGCTTGGTGGGCCTGCGACATGGGGATCGATCCCATGGGTATTGCGGCGTGCCCTTGACCACTGCTCTACACGCGCATCCTAGTTCTTTTTTAACTGAAAGAAAACTATAAAAAAACAGAACGTTCTATAATTAAAATAAACGTCGATAACTGCTGAATGAAAGAATAAAGTCATGTTCGAAACTGTTCTTCTAGTAAGAACCACTACCGAAAAACAAACCTTAACATAGGTAACTTTCGAGTTTCCACCCATTTGAACTGAAAGACATTAGCTCGGTATGTTTGCACACCTAAAATCAACTTACTAGAAAGCATAACTGCACAAAAAGAGAATCAAAAGTGAGTCCGATCATAGAAGAAAACCAAGAAAACGTTAACGAATGAAAGGAACAATAATGAAGATGACAGAAATACTCTGAAAAAAACCATGCTTCCAGCATTTAGAAGCAAAATCCCAGACAAGGATTCAGGTGATATAACGAGAATTCCGAAGTCTTCTGACACCAAAAATACCAAGACACTTCTTTAAAGCAGTTTAGAATCACAGCGAAATCCTACATGAAATAACTGGATAGCATGACTTTGGTGAATATTCTAGCGTGCGATGTTCGACGACGAAAAACCCGATCCCCAGTACTATAGTAAAAAACAACATAAACAACCAATAAATTAAAGGTTATAGGTCAAATATTCTATCTCTTTTACGATTTTCTGAGAGAGAAGATTGAATCCAACGCATGTTTTGCCGAACGAAGAATATCGAACACATGACTCAATCCTGAGAAATAGCTACCATTCACATGAAACCCACGATGATTTATGAACTCTACCATGAACCGCAACGAAATAGCATTTCCTTAACTTCTTGGATCTCATAGGGGTTGTTTATTTCGATAGTAAACTCTACAATACTTCTTGTTGTCAGGACCACTGTGCCCGGGTAGACAAGGGCTCTAGGGTACTCCTTGCGGACAGAATCCATCGCGATCAAGGACTCCACTTAATATCCAGAAGAGTTCATATCAGCTTTGCACACAAGAGTACTACAGCCCAAAAAAGTGGCCGTCCTAGTATTGAACTTCTTCTTCATCTACTAAAAAGATTTCAAAAAAAAAGAATGAAAAACTAGACATGGACCAAAGCCAGGCCGTCAACTTCTTGCTGAAGTCACGTGTTCAAACAGAATTTGTTCGTTGAACCATCAAGAGAATGATGATTTGACCTCACTTTAAATGGTGGCAAGCAGCGAGTCGTAGTCTGTGCTAATTGACTTGAAAAAAAGACACACAACAGTTAAAGTGCAATTCATTACTCTGAAAACAAAAACGCTGACGCAACAAAAGCGATAATACGAACTTGAACTACCTGTTATCAGGTGAGTGGATGGGATGGAAGAGCACGTAGTCGACAGCAGCTGAAGACATACGGATGACCTCCTCGGTCATCCACAACGTGTGTTCATGAATGTACCAATTCAATTTCTTATGAAAGTGTAACAACAATCGTTCAACATCGTTCTCCACTATTCTCATCACCGATGAACCGGCTAAATTGGTACTATTTCATGACAAACAACATGCAATGTCGCCACGACGACGGAACGACATTTACGAGCAATGCGGACACTTGTCGTTAATGTTCCATTTCGCCCATATATCAGAACAATAACAAAGACTTCCCGTTCCCACATGATTACGATAGAACTTATTGATATGGTGCTGTCTTCTTGATAAGACGTGTGCAGAACAGTGGGTAGAGGCGCTCTGGAAAATATATAGGATAAACCCAAGCTCTAGGCTCATCAAGCCTCCCATCTCTCCAGGGTCGGCAAATTCGTACCAAGCCTGCATAGGAGGATAACAACACTGGCCCGATACATCGGTAGGCCACAGGGAGTCATTGTAAGGACCAAATATGCATTCAATCACCTTTAACGATGCTTAATGAAGTCGAATGCACGACGCATCGTGCAGGGATTGATCAACGCCAAGCTTTATCCATCCTTTATCCTTCTTGAGAAGCTGATATGATCCTAGCAATACTCCACTGTGACGAACGTTCCAGAAAATTCCGCTTTCTTCAGTAGTGTGGTCACGATTCCACATCTCACGTGAACTTTATGTAGTTCGCTTCACTTCCTCTAAAGTGCACGACAGAAAACGGCTCCGATAAAGAAGACATTGGCCCGAAACTTAAGCCACATCAACTCACTACGCACTCAGTAACTTATCAATCGAACCCGAAGTGAAAGACGATGCTGAGGAACAGAAGTGATAGGATTTCACCTAACACCTGCTAGGTGATCGAGTTCTTTTATAGCAACAGCCCCGTGAGAAATTTCGGCAAAAGTCCATAAAAAAAACGCCAAACTGGAATGAGAAGCGAAAACATTGAATGAAAATGATAACAAAACTTGTTGTATTACGAATAACATGGAATACTTAAAATAGCAGAACGTTTGTCGACAACATTATGCAAATAGTATCGCATAAAACACATAAAGAAACTTGAGAGATTCGTGAGAAAACCAAATACGATAGAAGGAAAACAGAATTGCTTCAACCATAGTGATGCTGATATTTGCGAAACTCCGGACCGCAGGCGTATACCGTGGGGAACGAACGCACTGTTACCCTTTCTTGTGGATAACGCGTGCACCACTACACCAACCCGGTCGTTCGTTTCGCCTGTCTCTCAGCTTGAGATAGACGAATATCTCAGAATTGTTTCACATGTAAACAGTACGTGCGTAAGATTCTCACCCAGATAAAGTGTAAAGAAGTGCAAACGATGGCTTACTGATAAAACCATCCATATGATTAATCGAGAACAATGAATTGAATGGAAGGAAGGAATAATGCAGAATAAAGGACAGATCATAACGACGGGATACGAATGATCCGTGCTACTTGAGATGACTAGTTGTTTTTGCTGGGATACCAATGGTAACTACGTGTCATATGGGATGTTCCGAAAGCAGTTACTCAGTTCCTAGAATTCATCCGAACTAATGAAGATATTTGAAGACCACCAGAACCAATAAGATATTAAACCGAGAAAGAAGGAACGAAAGACTAGCATGGTGTGGTGGAGAACACGTTAGCCCAGGAATGAGTAGAGCGTTTTCGGTCCCCACCGCAGAAATCAGCGGCCCGGGGTTTTGCAAATATCTCAGCATCACTATGGCTATAAGACATTAGAAATTGGACGTACTACGATGTACTGCTAGAAAGACTAGATGGTGAACGAGCCGTTGATGAACATCACGTCGCCACTCTCCGACTGATGTACAGGGAAATGAAATTTCGTCCAAAAACCAATTCTGACTATCCCTACTGGCAAAAATAAATGCACTTTATGCAAATTCAGGTCAGAAAAAAGCTAATATCTCAAAACCGATCGCCGAAATGCACTAGGAGTCGGGATAAAATGGAACTTTAAATAGAGACATGAGGACACACACAGACATTCGGACAAACATTACATCAAACAGCATGATTTATCCCTGTAGAAGCCACCAGTTACAAGAATACATTACAAAAAAGTACAAAAATGAATGTGATATCTAACGAAGAATCTGAAAATGTATAAAAATCGATTACTTCAAAAGATGTACACAGAAGGATTGATTACCAGATTCATCTAGAAGCCAATTTCTGGGCAAATTCTGTGACAGGAATTGTTGTTGTAATGTGAGAAATTTAGCTGAAAGGACTACTAACAGCTCCGTGATTCATAACGGCCGCCGGTGACTGGCTGTGATAATGACCTTGAAACGACGACCAGGCACGTCTATCTCAAGACCGAGTAAAAATGGAAAAACTTGCCTGATCAGCAAAAACACAAGTCGAATGGAGATCGATTCTGGAGCACAAGCAATTCTTCAGGAAATAATCACGACGTTCTAGCTATTACTTACTACACAGTTTTCTTTTCTTGGTAAGGTAGATGCGAAATACAAGAGGTTCACGAGGAGCTGTGCCATTCCAATATCAGTCGTCAAATCTATTAAAACACCACTCCGAGCAGTTGACTTTGTCTTTTTCCGCATTCGTTTCCCTTTTTCCTTCACACTGTTTTAAACATAAAACGATGTAGAAAGTGTTCAGTAATCGAATAAATATTGCACAATACGAGTATAAACGATAAAGCCCCCAGCGTTGATCAATCCCTGATGGATGCGCTATGCATTCGACTTCATTAAGTATCGTTGGAGGTGAATGAATGCATATCTGGCCTTTACAATGACTCGCGGTGGTCTACCGATGCATCGAGCCAGTGCTTCTATCCTCTCAGACAAGTCTGGTACCAATTTGCCGACCCCAGAGGGATGGAAGGCTTTGTGAGCCACGGGCACGGGGATAGATTCCACGTGCGTGTCGCAGTGGCGCCTCCAACCACTGCGCCACACACGCTCTCAATTAAAATTAAATCAAATTAAAATTAAATAAATCAAAAATGCGTTGTTCTATACTATATTACTGTATTGTATTACCTTACCAAAGGTTCACCGCCTCATCGTGGCTGGAAAGTGTTCCTGGGTGTCGGACTGCGATGTACAGCGGGGGTTTCATCCCCCCCCCCCCGCAGGGTCTTCCAAGTTGAGGAGTCCGGCGTTTCCATTAGGAAGCCCAGCTAAGAGCAAACTAATACCAAGATCCACCACCGTCTTTGTATCAAACTAGTCGCATGATGGCAAATCTCTCTCTGATCCACATGGGAGGCGACTACCTGTGGTGGTGAAGATCTGGGGCATACTTTGCCCACGCTGACCTCGGGACTCCAGGGAACCATAATGCCGTATCCAACAAATCTCCGAAAAATGGAGATTATGCTGGGGCCCGCACAAACAGTGAGGACAAGCCGTCCAAATATCCAAGTGTTATTACATTACTATTATTCAAGTAGTGCATAAAAATCCAACTAGCTAACTTTGAGAAACATCTGGACAGACTTCCTGCGGCCTGATCTTACAAGATGAACAAAGGTATGTAAGAAAAGGAAACATAGAACGTGTTGAATTTTTTCTCAAAGAAAAACGAAAACTCCACAAGAGCACAATTTCATTGAAGAGCGGGAACTAACGTGAAAATAACTTTGTACATACAAAATTACTTCACTAAAATGTTATCGATCGTTTCAAAACAACCCATATGAGGCAAATGTCGCGGCATAGTTAGCACATAATCACTAAATATATCGCTACTCATTAGTAGTACTTCCCATATCCTCAGGAGTGATTCCTTATGGGCGTGTCTATCGATCAATAAACCATAAATTTTGTGAAAATAGTTGGAAACATGTCCAGAACAAAACAATCAACTACATCAATACGGCGAGTGAATAGGAACTGGTTTGTACACGTCACCTACTGTCTTCGCTTTGATCCAACAACAACGAACTGGTCAGGATTTCGAACAAAACCGTGTCCATGGTCGAAATGAATCCAAATCAAAAGTAAAGTTTCGACACGCCGAATTCATTAAGAAGAGAAAAGCCATGGACGAAGAATGGGTTCTCACAATGGAATAGATTCGACTATGAAGACCACTGACAAAGGGATTCTATGTGAAAACTCATCGATCGTGTGAAAGCACCATATTCATTCAAATGATGTGAATGTGGTCCTATGCTAAACCAATGCCTTACCAAGAAGACTTCCATGAATTATGGTTCACAAGTGGAAAAAACCGACGGGACATATGACCTAATTCTCTGTCATAGTGCATAGAGAGAGTCCGGCGATCAAACAAACTATCATGCAGGTGTTTAAGCGATGAGAGAGACCAAATTTTGTGTGTTCCATTCAGCAACAAATCCTAGTTTATGACGTCATTATTTCTAAGTGCTCTTACCGGTAATCATTCCAGAGATTGTCCCCTCTTTGATTCATTCTGTTACGCTCGATGTAGCTCGGTCGTTAGATCCTCAACCGGTTCCTGCTGCGAAGTCAAGCTCCTGTCTTGTCCCTTACTAGTTCCCATTATTATTGTAATCCAATTTAGCGAAAGCAGAAAAAAAGGGAACAGTAGAAGAACAAAGTAGGATGAAAAGAAGGAGAAAGTCGGGCATTCCAACGTGAAAGGATTTGCCGGCCAACAAGTGCACGAGAGAATCTGTTGATCAGGGTGCATGACCGACTACTTATCATTCGTTCGTCAGCCACATCGATACAGTTGACGTGTGAAGTTCTGATTTAGGAATTAATGAACATGAAAACTTTGAACATGTTCAAACCTGTAAAACACTCTATGACATCAGAATTTAGGACATGAGTCAGGGGAACCTCACACAGTAGCACTCGACTGATGGTCCATCAGGAATTTTCTGGTAGGGTTTCTAAGCTGCACGCGAAACTCCAGAAAACATAATAGAAAAGGGCATGGACACTGAATAAACAACAAGAAATCGATATTGGAACAAAAATGACGGGTGGATACCCCTGAAGTCATGGCGAGGATTACATGAAATGATGTGATCATCTGTGTTTGTAAGCATATTGATTTTTCTGTGGATAGTTCTTTCAAAATCAGAAGACCATTTCTTAAAACACAGTGCTAAAATACTGTTAAAATGCACGATTATTCAGAAATGAGCTTCTAAGGCTTCAAAAATATGACCCTACGTCGGTGAGACAACAGCGATTTTGTACAGTTAGGTGGTCCTTTATTGGCTCCATCGTTTTGCAAAACGTCGTTTTTCAAGGGGATTACCAACAATCTCATTGAATAACAACAATTAACACAGTTTAATCGCTCGACATTTTCTCTCCTGTGTATTCAGCTAACATATCGATCCATCTCTCTAGTTTTTTGGCGTTTATAGTTCGCTAAGGTAAGTCCTATGTCGTTTTCTTATCATTACTACTTCTCTAAGATTCCATCAAAAGTACACATTTTGGGGCCTTTCACTCTGTCTTTCGTATCCGGCAGAAGTTTCTAGTAAGTGTAAGAGTAGGTAAAGTAAGTAAGCTAATCAAATGAAAATTACTCGTGATTTTACTTCAAATCATTGCTTATCAATGACAAGTGTCGATTGATGACGGTGATATCCTTGATATACTGATATAATACTCCGTGATAGTGATATACAGAGAATAAAATAACTGATGGTATGGTCATCAAACCGACTTTTAGTTGACCTCGGAGTGAATAATCAATAAGTATTTTTTGAACTGTCCAGTTTACGTGAGGCTCAGAAGTTCCATTCGAAGACGAAGAAGTTCACGTAGAAGTTTTGTTCGAGTTATTTCTGAAAAAGAAGACAAAGACGTGGAAACGTCAACCGACTAAAACTTGTATAAAAACCCCATGTAAGCTGGACAATTCAAAAGAAACTTGTTGAATAATCGATGATATATTCGAAGACCAACTTCATCACAATTTCCACTGAAGAATTTTGTTATAACAACGTTAGAGAAGACATTTGAGTCTTACTATGGGTTACATGACTTTTATTTCATCATTAAATACCTTTATATTCCTACAAAAGCAACAACTAAGCAGTTTTAACTGTTACAAAACGCACGCTTGTAAAAGAAATGCCACGAATACCTTCATGAGTTATCCAGAAATTTCTGGAAAGCTGCTAGACAGTGCTGAGGGTATTCATCCACATAAATCTACAAATATAATATTACACGACGTCACTTTAGACGGAAAATGGTAACCAATACGTCGTGTCGTGTCGTTGTGTACAACGACAACGATGTTTCGTGGCGAGAAAAAGATGACCTGCGGCCACTTTCGCGCTCGGATGAAGGAAAATCAATATGCACATGCAAGATAGGAACTGCGAAGTAACCTCTCTCGCCATTCCCAGTTTTTGTTTTTGTTCTTTCCTAGTGTGAATGTATTTTTGAAGTGATGTCATCCTGCTCTAAATTTGATTGAATTGGTGCTTATCTTCTTCTTCCAATAAGCATGCAGTCTGTGTATTGTGTTAAATTCACTGGATTCCCTCGAACCTCAACTCGTAGCCGGACAGTTGGTGATTATGGATTACCGTTGCAAGTGGTCATTTATCTTCCGGATTTCGTCTTTGTTAGAAACTGTGACGTCATGTTTGTTGTCACTTACATGACGAGTACTTCGTGGCAACCGGTTTTTTTTGTTATTACATGTTTCATTCATTTTTAATGAACTAAAAAAAACGAGTGGGTTTATGTAACAGTTTTTATCCCGGAAGTGGTAAGATCTTGATATGACTTGATACGATCGCCTTTACTTATATGCTCTATCTATCTAGCTCGCTATCTATGTATACATTATCGATTTATCGATTTACTCAGTAATATTGATCATATGCGACCAAAACTCCAGCTAGATGCTAATTCTTTCTGCTCCATATTATGGATTTTAAGTTGCTGCTATACTTATAGCTTATAAGAAACATCCTTTACTTGGATACGTGGATGACCAGTTTTCACTGGTTGTGTGGGCTCCAGCTTAAATTCTATTTCTTCGGAAGTTTTGCTAGCCTAGTAATTGTGGTTCCTTGGAGTCCCGAGGTTAGTGTAACCAAAGTCTGCCACAAGTTGTCGTCACCACAGGCAGTCGCCGTCCCTGTGGATCAGAGGATTTGCCACCATGCGACTAGCTTGATACCAGGACGTGGTGGATCACGGTATTGGTTTACTCTTATCTGGGCTTCCGGATGGAGACGTCGGACTCCTTCTCAGCTTGGGAGACCCTGCTGAGGGGATGAATTCTCCCGTTGTACATCGCAGCCCGGAACCCAGGAACGCCTCCCAGCCCCCTTTAAATGCGGTAAACCGTTGGTAGGAAATACTTGACTGTGTTCAGGACACCATTGTTGTCCAAATAACCAATGAGCCGTTAAACAGGAACATGTCCTCGAAGCACTTTGAAACGATGAAAAGTTATGGGTGGATTAAGTTAAATGACTTCTCGTGAATCGCTCATTACCTTAAATATGATCCAAGGAACAGTTTTTGGAGACTACAGCGGTGTGCTGGGTTTACGAAGAAGAGCGAAAAGATGAAAAGTTATTTGAACTATGTACGTGACGTTGAAGAAAGCGAAGGTTCGGTTTCAGTTTTTAAAATTTAAAAGTGTAGCGCTATAAAAAAAGGTGTAGAACCATTTTCTTAGAGATCTTAGGAAGTCATGCGTATTTTTACCCAAGGTACCATCCTCGTAATTCAGAATTAAGCACTTACAGCTTCCATCTAGTAAGTTTGACTGTGTTCTCCTTAGTATTGCTTTATAGGAAGTTATAGTAAGTAAGATCTTAAATGTGGAATGTCTTCAGTCTTATGGCATGTCGCAATCATCCATCTTGAAGGTGAATTTGTGTAAAATTGGTATTTGGCACTACCTGGGTAAGCCGGTGGTTCCAAACATTCACAGAGAGAACCATTTATTTCCCAAAAAGGACTTTTAGGTGTCACTCAAAATTAGAACCAGATAACATCGTTTGTTCTGCGTGACTTCAAGTTTCTATAACTTTTCTTGTCGTCTTGACGCCCACGGTTTTCGGTTTTTTGACTATTGGCGGGAAATTCTCAATTCCTTTCGAATATCTGGGTTGAGGGCTTTATATATTTATTGAGAAAGCTTTATGACTTTGATTCGTGGTGCCTCATGGTGACACTTCCGTAGGTGCCGATAGTTTTTCCACAGCTATGCTAGTTGAGGAGTTGAGAATTTGTTGCTCTTTTAGAGCTTTTGATTTATCGCTCCAAATAGTTAAATGATTTTTCCGAAATGTTTCTTCCATTCTAAAGCTCTATGAAGTTCAAATTTACGAAAAAAAACTGCTTAGCTCAGCGAAATCTCGACTGCTCAGTGGTTTCAGTATTCGAGAATGGGCCTTAACGCGGAAAGAGAAGTCGGAAAGTACGTCTTGTAGGTTCAAGCAGGACTTTTCTCTTGTGGGCAAGAATATTTAGATTCTGATAGTTTTCCTATTCAGAGATGAAACTCGCTGAACTGAGCTACAGGTGTTTATAGATGTGGGGTGCAGTTGTTTTCGGCTGCATGGGATTCTATGGAATGCTCATTATTCGTTATGGGTTAGTAGCATACTCAACCGTTCGTTCAGTTTCATGTAATTCGTATTCGTCCATCTAATTCATCAATTCATTACTCACTATTATTCATCATTATTAATTGAAATCCTCAGAAATTGATGACGAAATCCAAACTTCTAAAGATTTCCATATAAACGACAGTTGCTATGAAAACTAACGACACATTTGGGACACCATTGTATTCTGGACGAAATCTCGTCTGTTCTGCCCCTTTCGTAGTCGAAATGTGAGCTTTGACGCAAAAAACTAAGGAATAAAGGGGTTCTGTGCGGAAAAAACAACATCTCATTAGAGTAGAAGTGGTACCATTTAGACAAACACCTGTTATTTCGCTACCAGCGAAGACGGGCCATCCAGGTATCCATGGCTTGCTACAATTATAAAATCAGTGTTGCATAAGCTATCGATTGATTACAAAAAGTCTGGAGAAAAGCTCTTTACAGCGAAATAAAGCAGAAAAAAAGCGTGTGCATCAGAAAGAGCATTGTATAATGAGTGATCTACTACATCTACCTTAATAATTGGTCAATTTATCGAGTAGATTTACATGAAAAATACTCGATTTTAAGTGTGTTAGAAGTACATTACATCACTGCCAAAGTAGTCAGACGTTTTCTTTTTTTGACAAATTCAATCTATCTCACAAAAGCAGTGGCTGTCTACCGTATCCCTTTTATTTCGAGCGATATCGATTGATCGTGGTTTTTGATCCTCCAGGAAATCTAACAAATTCGTGAAAGGTGTCTCGTTATTTGGAACTTATTTGTACTGAGGTCAAAACACCATGTTCCAGTTGCAGCTTCAGTCTATCGAGGTGTTCGGTTCTGTCAACTGGCATTACGTCAAGTGCACTTTTGTTGTATAGTAAAGTACAAGCAAAACAGGTCTAATTTGTCACTAAAAGGCTTTGTCGCTTGCAGAAAACAACTATAGAGTTTTCCCGTGTGTTATTAGTTTCTCTTTTGTTTCTACCCAACAAATGAGGCAATGAATCCTATTGTCGGGAGGAGCTCTCATGTAGTATGAGACGAATTCTTGACTAGCGGTAAAGACGTAGCCACTTCGGGGTATTCACACTTGTTTCAGTATGTAAAGAGATCTGTGTCAGATTAAGATCTATGTCGTGTTTTGCTCAATCCTGGCCTATCTGTTCGTCTATGGTATCTGATTGAATGAGTAATGAGGAAGAATGTTTGTTATTATTTACTGCTTCTCAGGTCTGGTATGAAACTATTATTATAATAGTAAAGGATTAAAGGATAAAGCTGTCGGCGGTGATCTACCTCTGAGGGAGGCGCCATAAATTCGAGTTCATTAAGCATCGTTAGAGCTGATTGAATGCATATTTGGTCTTTACAATGACTCGTGCTAATCTACAGATGTACCAATTTGCCGTTTCCAGAGGGATGGACGGCTTATTGAGCCTAGGACACTAGGATCGATCCCATGTGTATTGTAAGATGTTTCTGATCACTGCGCTACACTCGCCTCTATAGTAGATTATAGAATAGATGTTATTACTTTTTGGAACGAATACCATATAAAATATTAATGGGAATATATCTTTCAAACATTCTACGAATCATAAAGTAAGTTACGACTTTCCAAAGCAGCGTACTAGAACACGCACTTGTTTGAATATGTTATCACGGTGAGCTTTTAATGGACCAGCATTTACGTGGTTCGTTTCGAATACACTACTGTCCGAGAAGGGTTTATGAGCTGTTTTGCGGAAAAATGTGTATGAAATCGGTTTTGAAAAATTGATTGAATGGTGTGTTCTGTGCGCTCCGTTGTTTGTTTGATCGTTCAATAATGTCCCCTATTCATATTCATCGTTTTTCATATCCTTTTCGCTGTCATTCTACTGGTTGGCCACTCACTGGGCAGTTTGGTTTCATCACAGAGAGCTACAGCTACAATGTCATTGTCTCTTTCGAAGATAGTTGCTATCAGCTGTCATTCTTATCATTATTGTAGTTGCTGTTATCAATTTTACTAGTTGATTATGGATGATGTCATTATTATTTATACAACCAGGTAAATACCAGACTGCTCACTAACTCAATCTTAGTTTATTCCGCCCAGTGTAAGATTTATACCGTAATCGTGAATAACGTTATTTCTCGTGGTTATTGTTTAGTATTCTAATGCGGATTTCAGATGTTATGAAAATCCATAAATCGATTAGTGATGGACGATTGTAGTGCTGATGTAAAATCGTCGGATGATGTGTTACTTACTAACACTTTAAACGGTGATGACTGCCCTCAATTACAATCGCTGTATGATAAATACAAGGTTCAACAGAAGGATATAGAACGGTTCGTAATTTGCTCTCTGTATAAACTTATCCCTTGAGTTTTTGGAAGAGGGTCTAACATAGTTTCCATTTTTTTTTCGGAGTTTTGCCGGCTTATCTATTGAGCCTCACTGAAGTCCCGAGGTCAGTCTAGCCAAAGTCTACCCCAATTCGTCATCACCACAGGCATTCACCGCTCTTATGGATCATAGAGAGATTTGCCACTATGCAACTAGTTTGGTACCAGGACGGTGGTGGATCCTGATATTGGTTTACTCTTAACTGGGCTTCCTGATGGAAACGTCGGACTCAGCTTGCGAGGTTCTGCTAAGGGTGGGGGGACGAATCCTACGCTCTACATCGCAGCCCGACATCCAGGAACATCTCCCAGACACAATGAGACGGTAAACCATTGAGAGGATTCATAGAATGGTAGCATGAATATGAGACTGTTGACTCTTCTTGGAAAGGAAAGTTATACCACGTTTTGGATGTCGAACTTGACATCTCGGTTTTTCGCTTTTCCTACCATTTCACTGTTTGTTTTTAGGTTTCTCTTTTCTTTTATGGTATTTCAGTATGCAGAGGCATTAACTGTAATTGACGTTCTTACAGTTCACGTTTCTACTTTTTAGGCTCGAGGAGCAAAACTCTAATTACCGAGAGAAATTACTAAAAACGATTCGAGAACGTGATCAGAGTGATGAGCTTCTACGTAACATGCGAGATACACAAAAAAAAGAGACATTCGAATTGGAGAAACGGCTCCGTGACTATGAAACTCAACTGAAAGCTGTGCAGGTTTGATGTGTTTTGGGCGCATGGATAAAAAATAGAGATGAAGCTGTCAGAGTTGATCAATCCCTGAAGGATGCGCCATGCATTCGACTTCATTAAGAATCGTTGGAGGTGGTTGAATGAATATCTGGCCTTTACAATGACTCACGGTGGCCTACCGATGTATCGAGCCAGTGCTGCTATCCTCCCAGACAAGTCTGGTACCAATTTGCCGACCCCGGAGGGATAGAAAGCTTGGTGAGCCATGAGTGCGGGGATCGATTCCACATGTGTGTCGCAGTGTCCAACCACTGCTCCACACTTGCCCCTTGAGCGCATGAAAACTGGTAAAGCGCAGTGGTCGGAGGTGGCCTGCAATACGCATAGGATCGATCCACGCGCCCCAGGTTCAAGCTCTCGATCCCTCCGGGGTCGGGAAATCGGTACCAGACTTGTCTGGAAGGTTAGGAGCACTGGCTCGATACATCAACCGCGGCGAGTCTTTGTCAAGGCCAGATATGCATTCATTCACCCCTAACGATGGCTTAGTGAAGTGGGATGCATGGAGCATCTCCCAGGGATATAGATCAACGCCGATCAACACTACATATTCATCCTTTTCATGACAGTATAATATCTATGATTTGTTCGAAGTATTTTTTTTATTTTATACGACCCGTCTTTCACATGTACTGTGTGGAACTCAGTACTTCTGACATTCGATTCGTTTCCTCACATCCATCATCCATGAAAGTCTTCCAACTTTTACATGTGTTTTTGGCTGCTGCTTGAGGATTTTTATTTCATCTTGGATCTCGTTCACTGCCGGTCGTGTCCGATTCTCTCTAGCCAGGCTAGAGTATTCCTATCTGGATTGCAGAGAGCGATTTTTTTCCGTACAAGTCTGGTATCAGTTTACCGCCCCGGTGGGACGAGAGGTTTGATGAGCCCGGAGTGGGTTCAAACCAACCTGTGCTGTTGATGATCGGCATCACTACCACTGTGCTATCCGTTGCCTTATTCGAAATATACGTGTTTGAAAATGTTTCGATTATGTTTTTGTTAAGTTTTGTTATTTGTCAAACATTTAGGATCGTGCTTCAGCTCAGGAGACCCATTACAATATTACAATAAAGGATCTTTCACTGAAGTATAAGAACTCAGTTAGTCAGGTAAGTTTCGAGATGTCTGGTATTAGATGTCGTTTATTGTTCAATGTTCAATGTTTAATATTCAATGTTTAATGTTCATGTTCAATGTTGATATATTGAATTTCTTCAGTTGACCAAAAAATTGGACATATCCGAAAAGGAAAAGAACGATGCCGTTGTAAAGTACGCGACAAGAGAGGCAGAAATAATGCGAATACGGGGCGACATCCAAAAGAAAGAACAGGAACTGGTCGAGTGCCAAAAGGCGAAGGAAGAGTTGAAACACTGTCAAAGTCAAGAGAGTCTGGAGCAGCTGGTTGGTGGCTTTGGTTAGGATCCGATTTAGATTTCTAAGAGCTTCCAATCTTTCTGTTTTTCTTTAGGAAAAAACAAATAGCAGCCTGCGGGTAGAGTTGGAGAACGCTAAACACGAAAAATTTGATTTGGAGAACAAATTAAAATTGGCAGAAAAGCGAGTAGAAGTGAGATTTAATTGGATTCTTTGATATCCTGTTGTTATTTCAAATTCTGTGGATACTTTTATCATAATGCTTTTGTGGCCCGAATAATTAATTTTTGATTTTTCTTTCACTTATTTGTTTGCCTCGGTCGTTAGTATTCTGGTGTGGGACTAACTCTTCCTGTGTGCGTCTTTCAAGCCGTGATCCAGGAAATCTTAGTCTCTCGTTGGAGATGTATATGAGGAAGCATGATATTGTATACCAGATCATGTAATAATGAAGCTAAGTGGGTATTTATTTTTTTCTCATGTTATAGACCGTGAAGCACACAAGTTTCGCAAGAAATGCTCTTCCGGGAGGCAAAGAAGACTTTCATTGAGTTCCTTTAGGTTGATTTAGGTCTTACCGTATGAAAAGATTTTGTAGGCATACAGTTGGGACTTCATTTACTAATGGTTTTATTGTTCTCAGTTTTACAAGGGTTTATTCCAATGGAGTTTTAAGGCTAGCAACGCATCGATAGCCGAACTAAAGCAGCAAGGTGATGTGCTTAGGAAACAACTCATTCAGCTGAAAGAAGAAAAGGTTCAGCTTCAAGGGGAAAATAGGCAGCTCTCACTAAAAACGCAAGTAAGTCTTTTTTCTGTAGCCATGTAAATACTAACCAGCTCTGTTCTTCGATTTCTTCTGTCCAGCGAGCTCTAGTGAACCGTTGGATGTTAAATTCCTACTGAGCTTCCACGGTTGATCGGCAGGTTGCCATTTCCGGTATGACTGTCTCAGCGATCCGTGGAAAATTATTCAGATCAAATGATATCCAAGGTTGAACGTTGTCTCTTAATGGCCTCGTTCTTCGTGGTATGCATACATCAGCTGTTACTCTTAATTCACCTGCTTGTTTTGTGTTTTTTTCAATGAATTGCGACGGTTGCAGGAACGAATAAAATGCTATCGTTTCATAGCAGAAGTGAGCTTGCTTTGGATATTACTAGTATTTGCATAAGGGAATGTTCAGATACAAGAATCGCGTCGTGTAAACCAAGCTGAAGAGTTGAATAAATGTCAGCAATTAGTAGAACAACAGCTAGCTGAGGCGAATTTGAACTGCTCTCGTCTGATTGATTCCAATCGCCAAGTCACCGCTGAATTAGACGAAGTGAAGAGGTGAGCTAAGTGAGAGCTACTACTTTGGAGTAACCCGTGTGTTTTGAGTTTGGTTTATTTTCGAGTATTGTTGAAGATTTAGTATAACATACAATGGTAACAATAGTATAACAATATATAACATAGTAGTATAACACTCCCGTAATTTACCCATATATGCGTACCGAAAAAAACAAGGATAAGGCTCTCGGCGTTGATCAATCCCTCTGTGATGCGCCATGCACTCCACTTCATTAAGCATCGTTGGAGATGATTGAGTGCATATCTGGCCTTTACAATGCCTCATGTTGGTCTGCCGATGTATCGGGCTAGTGCTGCTATCCTCGCATACATGTCTGCTACCAATTTGCCGACCCCGGAGAGATGGAAGGCTGGGTGGGCCCGGGACGTGTATATCGATCCCATGTGTATTGCAAGGTGCTTCCGAACATTGGGCCACACCACGGGCCCTTATGTATATATGCATGGCGTATATGTTTATTTATGTATATATATATATATATATATATATATATATACTATGGTATGGCATTTTAATGTGACTTTTTCTGTTATTTTCACACTTCTGTTTTTATTAGCATTTTGGATCTACCGCTTACTGATTCGTCATATTTCCCAGTAGTATTTCTTCTCCATCTTTTCCATTTCACATCTTTCACAGAGAAAATCTTGATCTTCTCAACAAACTGCAAAGTTTCGAGGATAAGCTTTCACTAGAAGAGAAGGCTAATAGAAAAGCATCGGTCGAACTTTGGCGTCTACAAGGGATTGAAGAACAGATAGTGAGGTAGGTTCATGCAGTCATTGTTACCTTATAGGGTTACATAAAACTCGATTATTTCAGCAGTCAGAAAATAGCGGAACAAGCTAGGCTTGATAAAGAACAAGCCGTAAAAGAGTGTGAGGCTAGTGATTTTTTTTTCTTGACTTTTATTAAGTAAATGTCGCTAGTTGTTATTTAGTTTAGATTGCCGAAAAAGAAGCTGAAGAATGTCGTTTGCAAGCTGAGAGGATGTTGGCCATCACAGAACAACTGACAGAACGAAATAGTCAGCTTGTAAGTGAGATTGCTACGGAGAGAGAAAAGGTGATAGATATTCTTGTGACTTTTGATTGTAGTTATTTTCACATAACATGAGACTCCGTTGTTTTCTTCATTTAGAATTGTCAACTGGAGCAAAAACTTATTACAACTGAGGGTTCGCTGAATCGTGCTCTTTTGAAACTCTCTGAAAGAGTACGTTATATTCTATTTGATCACTGTCAACACCAAAACCGCGCTACCTAACCCTTTTCTAGGAAAAGGATCTTGAACAGGCAACTGGAAGTGGACAAAGTGAAATAATATCGTTAAAAAATGAACTAAACGACATGCTTGTTAAAGGTTATTTTTTTGGAGGGGTTTTATAGCTAGATCAACACAGTAAAGTCAGTTTTTGCAGTACAAGAATTGACACAACGGCTGCAGGAAGAACGTGTCGATCATGCAGTGCTTAAGAAGAAGTACACAGCTAATATCAAAGTAGGTTAATGATTCTACTGCTTTAATTGGGCACTTATAGGCGCCATACAATATACATGGGATCGAATCTCTGCGTCCCAGGCCCACCAAGCCCTCCATCTCTCCAGGGTCGGAAGATTGGTACCGTACTTGTCCGGGAGGAAGCAGTACTGGCTCGATGCATTAGTATGTCACCGCCAGTCACTGTAAAGGTCAGATATGCATTCAGTCCCTTCTAACGATGCTTGATGAAGTCGAATGCATGGTGGATCCCTCAGCGATTGGTCAAGGCCGAGAGCTTTATCCATTTTTTGCTGCTGTAACTAGATTACGATATTATTCATGGACTCATGTGACAGTCGTTTCCGTCCCATAATAACAAAAATAGGGATATGTACTAGTTTCTACTTTTAAACTGGATTTCAAAAATCATAGAGATCTTTTGTAGGAGTTGAAATTCGAAGTGTCGAGTCTTCGAAAGCAAGTGGACGCAACAACTCCGTTAGCCCCGCTGAATTCAAATGATTCGGTCGCAAGTACGAGCTCGCGGTCGAGAGCCAGTTCGTTGAACAGCATTGATAGAATAACGGTGAGGACTTTGAATGGTTTTCTACCCAATATTTCTTACATTCTTGAGTTAACGAAGGACTAATGATAAAATTCTGGCATTGTTTTCTCTTACTACAATATTTCTGAAGACTGCTTGGATTGCTGGTTTGGCTATTGTTCCGTTATTATTTAGACCTTGTCACGCGACGACGAGAATTCTCATTCAGGGCAGACTGTATCAAGTGAACCTAGCACGTTTCAGCAAGTAATGATAGACAAGGTTCGATTTTTTCCTATATTTATTTTTGACGAGTGTTCATTTAAAATTCGATCTTTCGTGGAATACTTGTTCCTTCACAGATTATTGCGTTGCAAAAAAAGCTCGCCAGAAGAAACGATAAAATAGAGTTCCTAGAGGAGCACGTGCGATGTTGTCTGGAGGAATTACAGAAGAAGACAAGGTTAGTGTTTTTGGGGAACAGTATCCCTGAAGCGCCCTTCAAGGCTTCGCGAAAGTATTCTCGTGATTTTTCTCATTTCTGAGTAGATTAATGCGTTTTTAAAGAATAATTCAACATTACGCACTTCGTGAGGAAGCTTCTCTATTACTGCCTTCCAATGGATCCCTTGAGCAGGTCTGTACATTGTCTTCTTTGTCGGTTTTATTCAATGTAATTACTTCTATTTTGTAGTTAATGAATTGCTGCGAAGTCGTACAGGCAAGTTGACAGTGAGGTGATGTGAGAGAATGCAGATATTCTTAATTTCGGTTTTGTTTGTTGCTCGTATGAGTGTCTTTCCTATCTATGCACGCCATTTTCTGTCCATGCACGGGGCGTGTGTGGTGCAGTGGTAGGAGGCCTTCTGCAGCACATATAGGGTCGATCCTCGCGCCTTAGCCTCACCAAGCCCTTCATTCCTCCGTGGTAGGCAAATTGGTACCAAACTCGACGTAGACGATAGCGGCATAGGCTGGATACATCGGTAGGCCACCGCGAGTTATTGTAAAGGTCAGATATGCATTCGGTCACCTCCAACGATGCTTAATAAACGCGAATGCATGGCGCATTCCTCAGGAATTGATCAACGCCAAGAGCTTTCTCTTTTGGCTTTATCTATGCACGTGCGATTTCAAGAAGCGTTATATTTTACGGTCACTCCGTGTTAAAGTGTGCGATCTTAAGCTGTAACTAGTGAGGTCATCCTGTTTGTCAGTCACTTGGTAGCTTTCAAATGGCGATTCAATAGATTCTCGATGTAGACAATGTAGATCCAGTCGCATTTCTCCTTGTATACTTAGTTTTCCGTTTCAGGTCCCTCTAGCAAGAAAAGGTACTTCCTATTCTTTAATGGGGTCGATTTTTGCCGGAGGTAACGATAAGAAGTCGCTGCAACTAGCCACAGAAGTGAATTCCCGACTTCAGTCGGTATTAGAGGACGCGTTAATGAAAAATATAACACTAAAGGTCAAAATAACAACTGGTTTCTTGAAAATGTTTGCCGATTAGACATATGACTACTTCAGGGTTCCGTAGACTCACTAAGCAACGAGGTATCGCGGTTATCACGGGAGAATCGACAACTCACATTAGCCCATAGTCGGTGTACTGAGCAATGCCCATGAAGATGTAAAAAGAAAGAATGTACGACAATTTATCATGAAGTAAATAAAAATGTTTATATGTGTAATCTGACTACAGTGTATGTCGAACATATCAACAGTTTCTCAGAATGTCTAGTTCATGTTATGCGTCCACGAGAACATATGAAATTACTTTCGAGAGGATATTTAGCGGCAGATTTCTACGAATGAAGCCTTGTTCTTCTTAGGAAGGTAGGTATAAACCAAATGTATTCCACAACTTTCAAAGAATCACTTAGTAAGCGACATCCGTGAATATGACCTTTGAGAAGGTCTTTGCTAAGATCACAAACGTACCAAGGAATAAACTCGTGATTGACGAAAACAATACATCAAGAGAACACTGATTTAGCGATAAACGTAAGTGTTTCATACAACATATACCTTCAATATAGTTCATTATTAAGGACGAACTGGCTTCAATAAAATCATGCAAAATTACCAGGATCTTCATGAAAGTGAGAATAAGAAAACAAAGGAAACTGTGCAAGAAGTAACTCCTTAGACTTTCTCTATCATCCTTTGAGATAAATTCCTCATAATATGCAGATCAGTGAAACTCCGTGATTGTATAAACGCACCTAGTTCACGTTAGCTACGATCCAAATCTTTACATGTATACATATGTGGGGGTAAAATTTCAAGCAATTGGCAAGGGAACTTTCAGACTTATGTTTGTTCCGCGCTTGATTTTTTCGAACTTTTAGTCGTCGAAGAAGGGCATATATCCTTGCAGAGACACGTGCTGCATTTCGGCTTTACGGGAAGGCAAGTTTGTTGCCCAAATCCAACGAGTAGTGGATTTATGGTGGTCCAATGTGATCTACGAACAAGAGTATGAACAGCTACTGGGAAATAAGCGAAATCTGTTGTTTTGCTATTAGAAGAATGTGAGGTATGGTCTTAAAAGTGAAGTTTGATTATCCAAATTATAATTCTTACTTTGGGAGCATCTCCTGAAGTTTGGACCTAGTCTTCTCCGGTGTATCGGTTTTCATCCAGCCTGTAATGATTTGAGCAATCCCTGAGGGATGCACCATGCATTCAACTTCATTAAGAATCGTTGGAGATGATTGAATGTATATCTGGTCTTTACAATGACTCGCGGTGATTTACTGATGTATGGAGCCAGTGCTGCCATCCTCCCAGGCAACTTACGAATTTGCCGACCCACGAAGGTTGGAAGGCTTGGTGATCCTGGGGCGGGGGGATTGATTCCATGCGTATTGCAAAGCGCCTTCAAGCACAGCAGTACACGCGCCCTTTCTGATCAGTACGGCCAAGGTGAAAATGTCAGTAATCTCAACAAAATGGACAGTGTAGTAATTTACAAAGTTCCTTCCCTGTTGTCCAGATTTAGGGATAAATATAATATTACGCTAACGAAAACTACCAAGTCGATTCACAATCCGATGCACATGGGTGTCCACAGCGATGCCATCTACTCTATTCCAAGCAATTTGCATCACAAGATGAGCCATTTTTGGTCCTACACCGGGAAGCGAGCAAAGACCTGAATAAGCTCATGTATGCAGTTAATGTATAAATTAATTACTCTATAACTCTCAGAATAAAAGAATAAAGGATAAAGCTCTCGGCGTTGATCAACCCCTGAGGGATGCGCCATGCATTCGACTTCACTAGGCATCGTTGGAGATCACTGAATGTATATCTGGCCTTTACAATGACTCACGGTGCCCTACCGATGTATAAACCCAGTGTTGCTATCCTTCCAAACAAGTTTGGTACCAATTTGCCGACCTCGGAAGGATAGAAGGCTTGGTGAGCCAGGGACGCGGAGATCGATCCTATGAGTCTGATGCAGCGTGCCTCCGAGTGTTGCGCCACGGGCGCCCTAATCTCAGAATAACTATTATCTATTTATATGTTCTTATGAACTCATCTTGTTGAGCTGACGGTATAAGTTGTTGTTGTTCCTGTTGTTTTTGTTGTTGTCGTTGCTGTAGTTGCGTTGTTGTTGTTGTTGGCCAATAGCTGACGTTTCGGAGATTTCACTTTCCTCAGAGTCATTATGTTGTGAGTGGAACCACCACTAGTGCACTAGTCCCACTGGCATCATCACGGCTCTGAGAAGAGCGAAATCACCGAAACGTCAACCATCGGCCAACAACAACAACATAACGACAACAGCAACGACAACTATACCAATCTCGCTTCAGCTCAACAAGGTCAGTTCATAAGAACAAATAAATAGATATATCGATTATTTATGTCGAAGTTTAAAGAACGTTGGTCTTTTGAGTTATTAACAATACATAATGTTCAGACAGTGTCGTACCTTCCACTGAATCTGGTACATCCCCATGATATTTTTCTTTTAGTATTTCGGCTACCTTCTTGATAAAAACGGCCTTCTTCTGTGTAAGAAAAATTGAGTTATGACTTCCTCTTAGATATAGAGTAAAGAATTCAGACCTTGTAAAATCCGACCGGGTGTAACAGCTTTTCCAAGTCATTTGTTGATATATCGAGCATTGAATTTACACTACAACCGTGACTTCGTAGTCGCTGAACAACACACTAATTTTTATTTTGAGATATAAAAGCATGTGCTTTCCGGGACTCAATTAATGAAAAGTTAAAAGGCTCTTGGCGTTGATCAATCCCTGAGGAATGCGTAACGCATTCGACTTCATTAAATATCGTCGGAGGTGATTGAATGCATATGTTCTTTACAATGACTCGAAGTGGCCTAACGATGTGTCGACCCAGTACTGCTATCCTCCCATACAAGTCTTGCATCAATTTGCTGATCCCGAAGTTCGGTGAGCCTAGAGCGCTGGGATCGATAGCAAGTGTACTGCAGGGCGCCTCCGACCACTGCACCACACGCGCCTATTCAATTACTCTTTGGAACAAAACGCCTTGTAAGGCTGTTATTCTCATGCATACTTTCATAATCTCTATAAGTAGTACAACTTTTTAATCTTCCTTTTTATCAGTTCATGTGAACTCTGTTCAATTCCTACCAGTTTCTGAAGAGCGAACGAGAAAACGAAACAGTCTCTAGGAAGCGCAATTCGCCGAAAGCCTAGTCATGTCAAATAATCTCTGAGTAGATAAACTCACATCAACTCGCTAAAATTATGAAAATAAGCTTTTAAGTTGTAGCAACTGTTTCTACATAAGTCTACGGAAAAGAACAGAAAATGAAACTTTGGTCTATGAACTCACGACGTGGTAACAGTGTCAAAGGTTTTGGAGATGGTAAGAAAAAAGATATGACCAAAAGAAAAAAAAAACAGAAGCAAAGACATGACCAACCATCATAGCCGCTGACGTAACTTCATCCTTCGTTTGGCTTGACAACATTAAGGCCATCAGTACTTGAAAACGGAAAGTCTGATAAGGACATTTTTTACTTATATGTTTAGGAGAAGCAAAAGAACACCTTTTAAACAGCAACAATTTAGCAACATTGCAACTCTAGCAACCTTGGAAGATGCAATGCATCATTTTCCTAAGAAAATACCTCTGGCGATGCCAGTGGATCACCTAGTTTATGACATCCCATCGTATCAACAGGAGCATCTCCACTCTGACGCATCTCAGTAATCCGTTCAAGCTGAAGGAATAAGAATTTTATATTTATAATGAGAGAATTACTTCAAGATAAGACATGAAATTCTCAGAAAAAAAGTTCATAAGAAACTTACTTGGATGCTTGGCTGACGCATCTTCACTGGTTGAGCGGGCCCCAGCGTAATTTCCATTTTTTCAGTTTTGCTGGCTTAGTCACTGCAGTTCCCCGGAGTCCCGAGGTCAGTTTGGTCAAAGTCTGTCCCGGGTCATCACCATCACAGCTAGTCGCCGCCCTTGGGAATCAGAGAGAGATTTGCCATCATGCGACTAGTTTGATACCAGGACGGTGGTAAATTCTCGCATTCGTTTACTCTTGGCTGCGCTTCCTGATGGAAAAGTCGGATTCCTTCTTAGCATGGTGGACTCTGCCTTGGGGATGACTCCCTTGCTGTACATCGCAGCCCCACACCTAGGAACACCTCCCAGCCACGATGAGGTGATAAAGCGTTGCAAGGTGACAATAAAAGCTACATTTTGAAAATTAAAGAAATTCAAAAAATCAAAGTAATCACTCCTAAAATAACTAAACAACTTACGTGCAACTTCCACAGATCTTCGACGTCAAAAGTTTTCTTCTTAGCTCCTCCATCCTGTAACCGTTTACCTCTTGTGGATCGCTTCATTCTAAATCAAAGGAATGGACAAGGAAATTACAGCTTAAGCATAGTTGTTTCATAGAGTTCGCGAATAAGGGAACTTCAATAATGGTAAGAGACACCGTTCGTATTGCAGACCAGTACTGACTTTAAGTACTGAATGACATATCTGAGGAAGGGAAGCACCGAACGATCAAGTAGTCGGCTTTATCTGCCAGCCGGTACTGAATAGATAATTTCAAACATTACTTCAGTTCACGGACTACACGTCATCACATAACAACAAGAGAGGAATCAAGAGACGGTAGGCCGATTTATTCAGAATGAATACGTACTGCCAGTACTGCATAGTGACAACGGAACGCATGAAAAATGAGCAATCAGGACTTAAAGGACTACAGTGAAAAGATAAATACACAGGCCAAACCAAACTACTAGTATGATCTTGGCTCTTACCTTACAGCTCTCAATTCCGAAAAAACGGCACGAAGTACATAGGTATTGATTGGATTTCTTGCCCATAACTTCATATTAGCGCCAATGAATCTTCTAACACACAGAATTTTGACTCTGACGCGGATCAATCTCTTCTATGGTAGTAAACCATCATATAAGCGGTGGATCGATAACGTAATGAACAAAAGCAAAAGCAACAAGTACTACTTCGAATCTACAGAGATCAATGCGATTCGTTTCGAATGAAACGCATTCGCAGAACGTGCCGTGATTGCGGACGTCTTTTGAGATTTGACGCATATAACTCGTATATAATGCTGAGGTATTTGCAAAACTCCGGACCACAGGTGTTTGTGGTGGGGAACGAACGCGCTATTTTCCTTTTCGGGGAGTAACGCGTTCACCACCACACCATCCGGGTCCTTCGTTTTGCCTGTCTCTCAGCTAGTTCTATCGATCTTTTTGCCATCAGCAATCACCCGTCAACG